ATAATAATTATTAAATCGAAGTAAACTAATTATTCTNGATTATGTTGTTTTTATTATAAGTTTTTTCAAAAGCTAATCTGAACTAAAAATAAGCAGTTAAGCTGCAATCATATACTAAATTTATTTAGACATATCTGAAAGAAAAGATAGATCTAGTATAGAACTTCTAATTAGAGTGCAGATGTATTCACAGACTTTTCTATCCAATATTTGCTTCCAGTTAGACTAATGTAAACACTATCCTGGTTGGAACTCCATATTTTTGTCACATCACAATTCACCCATTTTCACATTACATTATTAAAATAATTTTATACCTTAAAATTATCTAACATATGAAAATTTAAATTAAACTGTGTCAATATAAATTAAAAACTGTTACCCATGCCATCATTTTACTGACTTAATTTACTACAACTAGTATATTTTCATATGATAAAAAAACTCTGTAGTAAATAACATGCAAGTTTTATCCCAATTCTAGTGATTTGATGCATTTGATGCATCTGAAATAAAAAGGTGTTTAAAGATATTTGGCGATAAAATTGATCATTACAACATAATGCTGTTATCATGGAAAATTATGAAATCAGGTAAAATATATATCAACAATAACCAAATTGAACTTCAAATAAAGTAAAAGAAGAGACAACAGAACAACACACAGTTTCAAGGTAAAAGCAGTTATTGTAGATTAAAATAGAAACTGGTGGAATCGTAAATTGTCACAACTATATTATACAGATTGAAAAACAAATATCAATTTCAGCATCATAATTTAAAGGAATAATCATAACTACAACAAAATATCATGCACACAACTTTTTCACTTTCCAGCACAATTATTTAATGATTGGACAATTGTTTTCAAGCGGCTTTTCAGGTCTACCCTATACCGTATTAATATATTTTTTCTTCTATTTCTGGAACATTAGAATATTGAAAATACATTTAAAACAATTTTTAAATTTGGCAATTTTACAGAAAATTTTTAAAATTTCATTCTACTTTGTATTTAATAACTAATCAATTTACATTCAAAATAATTATTTATTATATACAGTAGAACCCCTCTAGTCCGCCCTTGGCTAGTCCGTCACTCCGGTTAATCCGACCGTGGTCGGACTCGAGAAACTTGTCCCGACTTGTCAGTGACTCACCGTCCGTAGCGTTCTTCTGTGTAAGTATATTTTTAACATTGTGTGTACGTGTACAGTTTTGTGTGTGTTTTCAACATGTCAGGAGTGAAATGTAAACACGTTACTCTTTCATTAAATGAAAAATTAGCAGTACTACAAAGACTGGACAAAGGGAAGATTGTTTATTTTACTCTTTTTTCTGATAATCCGACCTTTTTTGCGTTCCGACCATACCCCCAGTCCCAAAGGTGACAGATTAGAGGGGTTCTATTGTATAAATAAAAATGGGGAAAATGATATTCTGAGCACTGTTACTTTTGGTTTCAGTTTTATTTTTGGGCATTTTGAATTATTTTCCAGTTTGAAGTTCTTTTTAATATTAACTGCACTATTGATACTGTGAGGCCCAAGCAATACTGAGCTCACATGTTAAAAATATCATCAAAGTGTGAAATCAAGGGATTGGGCTTTGATTCTAATGATCATAAAATTGGGAGAAAAACCTATATAAAGTTGGCAAATAATAAAATTATTAATAAAAAAAAATAAGTTTTTAAATAACCTTAAAAGCAGATGTAGTGCTGAGATTATAAGAATTTGAAACAATTAAATACAAGCAAAAGTTTCAAGGTGCAATTAATTTCCCTTAATTAATCAGATTAAAACAGTGTCGAATTAAACCTTTGGTAGCCAAAAGTGGTATGCTTAGAGACAGGAAACCGACCAATCAAAGGCTAGAGATCCAGAGAAGAGAATCTTTTAAAAACCTGAATTTCAAGGACAAAGGCAGATTTCTCCCAGCTTCCAACTGTAGTTAACTGTCCAGACTTTTCCCTGCCTCCATGCGTAGTCATCATTTTGTATGAATTGTAAGCTATCACCCTTTGTCACTGAACCTCTCACATCATCAAAGCATCGACTGACCACCCCGGGGCCAACAACAACAGTCCAGTGCCTCCAGAAGACAAGACACCCTGGATTATAAGACTTAGTAAATATATGGGTTTGTTTATCACTGCAGCTATTTGCCTCACTTTCTTTCATCCCACATATGATAATCCTGACATTTGAATATCACCAATTCGGTGATCTCACACACAATACAATAGAGTTACAGTGTGTTAAAATACTTTTATGTAAAATACATTTAATATATATTATGCATCTTACTTTTCCAGCAAAAGAAAAACAAGCATTCATATAGCTGTAATCTAAATGTCTGATATTCAAGTTCATATTACAGTCAAACCTGTCTATAACAGAACCCCAAGGAACCGAACAACTTTTCTGTAGTAGACAGGTTTCCGCTATACACAGGTTACCTACTATAAATATCCCTCGATTAATGTGATTAATAAATTTCTCAATGTTACTACATATATCAAAATCACGTTAATCAAATACAATGATACTTCAGTACTCAACTTAACAATCACCACCACTACAACAGATTTTCGGTTAATACCAGTATTTTTATTTTAAATTTAATTTTTTCATTCATCCGTAAAAAGTTCTCAAAATATAAAAATCAGTAACCAATTTCAAAATAAAATGAAACCTTACAGCTGCCTATCTTCATCAGACAAAATTATACTCAATTCAGTTCATTTTATTCATAAGTGAAAAAAAAATTGTGTGCAGAACACAATCATCAGCATGTTTTACCACCATTTCAAGTGAATGAAGTATTTCAAACAATATGTGTCTGTGACACACTAAGATTTGTTGCAAATTTATGAGATGTTATTTGTCAATCTTTAACAATTTATTCCAACAATTTCTCTTCAACAGCTTATGGGAGCCCATACAGTTTGTATCCTTCAGTTCAAAATTTCCTGCACGAACTTTCAAAACCATATTTGACACATTTGGAGTTTAGAAGCATCTTCCCCATATGCAGTATGAGTATTTTTTACTGTTTGTATAGTGTGATATTCTTTATATAACTTGAAAGCATGCATAATATACAAAATGCGCACTTTATCTGCAGACATTTTGACTTGATTTTATTCAAATAAAATGTAATGTAAAAAAGTTTATTTTAAACTTCAAAACAAAAAATACAATTTCACAATTTGTAATTACATCACATATTTATGTTAAGTAAAAACAGCTGTTAATAAAAATATGCAGTAATGTTCCATTTAAATCCCAATAAAATTACTGTAATATTAGTCATATAAATAAAGTATTTTGCTATTCTGTATTGTGTATGTGTATTTTTTGACTTTTTTTAAATTAATGATTTATACATGCTTTGTAAACTTCTTGTTAAATCGGATAAAGATACCTAATTTCCTTTCCGTTTCCACGTTAGACAGGTTCTGCTATATACAGGTTAATTTATATTAAATTTTTGCAAAGTAGTCAAGGGACAGAAGAAATTTTCTGTTCATGACAGGTTTTTGCTATATATAGGTTTGACTGTATTTCTAAATATACATTTTATCATTGTCAGATTATCAATCTACCAGATAAAAGTTTTATTATACAAAGAAGCCTAGGTTATCTGATATTTTAATTTTATCTAATGTTGCATATATACAAGAAATTCTTATAAAACACTTGAAGGACACTGTAATAAGAAATAGTAATGAAAATATAATATTACATTACTTTTTAAAATAATAAAGGAGGAAAAAGAATGATATAATAAAATCAATCATTTAAAAGGCCCCTTTTCAATCACCAAATATTGTTTAACTGTAAAATATAATTGTTTTATATTTATATTTTACTTTTTATAATAAAAATTTATTGAACGAAAAAGCCCACTCTTATTTTATTCAACATTTTCAGTTAACTGATAATTCTGTTTCATTTATTTTGAATAACTAATTATAATATATGTCTTTTTTTTCCAATATACTTTATAATTAAAAAAATGTCTTTAATTTTACATCATTCTACACACCAATAAGAGCAAATAATGAAGAAACAGCTGATTTGAAGTGTTATCAGATTACATATAAAACTAACTTTCTCCATTAAAATGAATAACCTAGCAGATCATGGCTTAATGAAAAGGGCTTATCACATCAGGAGGACTCAATTATTCAAATATAACTTTCATTAATATGGGAATGCATTTCAGATACACAGACCCTTCATCAGCCCATTTAAAATGTTAGAGATATGGCAGTAAATACAATAAAATATCTAAAATATTGTAACAAAACACAGTTTACGTACTAATATTATTAACTAAATTAAGTACACTTCTAGCCCAAATACTTTGTCCAAATACATGAAGTTGAAATGAAAATCTGATTGTCCACAGATATTGAATTCAGTTTTCATTACAACTTCATTTCTAATTTAAATAGAATGTGCTGTATTTGTAGTATACATTAAATAAAAGTATGTTTGGTTGTCATAAATGTTCAATTACTTATACAAAAGGAAGTAATAAAACTAAATCAAAAATAGTTTTTATAAATGCACTTGTCTTTATAACATGACTCATTTTGCATATCATCTACATATTCAGTTATATTTGCATGATAAGCATGACATACATGTCAAAAAGCAATCACACACAATCAAGAACCTTTGAAGTGCAGTGACACAAATTTTAATGAAAACAAACGTTTTCAACCGTACCCATGGTGTGCATCAGGTTTTTTAACCAGTAAGATTCCAAAATGAAATTCAATTATAATTTGTTACTGGACTTTATAGATTCTTGATTGTGTATGATTCATTCCAGTAATTCAGTAGGAAGATAGTTTAATCAAAAAGTAATAAATGAGGTAAATATCAACTGTTAAAAGATAAAACTTATATGGAAAAATGTTACGAACTTCTTTTGCTATATTTAAAATAATTAATAAACCAAAACAATCAGAAAAATTAACATACCTCAACGGACTTTTTGATGGAGAACGTCGTCTGGAATTAAAAGAAAAAGTTATTTAAAACTTCAATGTTACAATGAAGCAATGATATGATGAGTAATTTCTTCATTAACAAAAAATAAATAACAGTTTGCTTTCTAAAACTACCAGAATAAAAATTTTATTCATAAATACTGTTAATATCACCATCATCAGAAACAGAATTAACCTCTTCAATATTTAAAATATAAAAATACAATCCATTGAGAAAATAAAGAAATTATACTTTATTCAAGATAAATACTTCCAAAACTAGCAACTCCTCTCCAGATGTTGGAATAGAAGTTTATTCAAACGTCTGGAACTTAATTATACAGTAGAATAAATAATTTATATTTGTCATATCATCTTTTAAAATCAGAAAGTGTGCATTTGAAAAAAATAATAAAATCAAACGTGACATTACATGTGATATTTAATGATCATCCAAATTAAAGTAAGTACACAAACACAGTTACATGAAAATGTTTATAAATTACACTAATGACCAAAACTATTACAAGATATGCAATGTCATTATTTTTTTTACAAAATATCATTCAAAACTCTTCTTTTTCTTTTTCTGAAGGCTTAGTCTAATGACTAGAATAAGCAGTCGTGCAGTTGTCTTTATTGAGCAATTGAAATTAATAGAAAAGAAAAAAAAAAAGGCAGATGTCAAGTGTTAACATTATACAAAACTATTATATTTAAAACTGAATATCCAAAAGTGACTGCAACTAATCATTTCTTACATATAAACTTATAATAAAGTACACAGATACTTGTCCACACTTTATGAAATATTGTGTTTCAATTGATTTGACTTTAATTTTAATTACAGTAGAACATTGATTATCCGAATACCAATCAACTGAAACATCAGTTAACTGAAAGTGTTCCAATCGGCAAATTCAAATTTCCGCTAGTATTGTGGCACCGCAGAACTCTCCCCCTCCCTACCAACCTAAACTGTAGGCCTAATTTAATGTAATGTACAGTACTACTGTAAGGTATGTATTTGTAAGACGTTGTGATACAAAATAAATACAGTATAGTTTTATGTTTAATATATTTTTTCATAAATGATCAGTTATCTGAACGACTCCAGTCCAAAATTGTTTTGGATAATCGATGCTCTACTGTAATTTTATTTTTAATTTTAGCTTCTGTTTCAGTGTAAAAAACAGAGTTTTAATCATTATTTTACTATTTTTAATTTTAATTAACTGGCTACCTAATATTAATAAATATTTTTTTATTTAATTTGAGTTAAGCACTTTTAAATATGAATTATTAGATGTCATTTATGTACATGAATTTCAATTAACATGGTTTTTATTAATTTGATTTAAATTGAATTGTAAAACACACTAAAAACTGGAAATAATATCTTACCCGCATGTGCATTGAAATCTAATTCAAATAGCAATGTACTTGATGGTTTGTGTTGTGATGTTTAATGATGCAAGATGAATTTCAATGCCACTACTGAATCAGTAGTTGTTGATTGGCCAGTCCGTTGACTTTCCAACATAGGAAGTTAACCATCAGTAGCCAACTCTACCAAGGAGCTTGTTTGGAAACCAAGTTATTGTACACAAACCAGAGCAAATATGGTGTTCAAGATTTTATTCGTAGACTGAACTGTTTCTAAACAAGGGCATTCTTAACCCGAGGCTTGACTGTGTAATAAAGATTAAATTAGCATTAATTTAAAGTCACTGCTTCTGTAAATCACAAAATAACCAACTTATTATTTCTGTGATTTTTTCTTCTTGTCTCATATTATTGCATGTTTTTTTATCATAAAAATTAATTTTTTTTACAAAAACATGTTTATAGTTGAAAACAATGGTACAAAAATGGTTCATTATTTTATTGCCCTCCAAATGCTTGTGGATTTGCAGAATTAGCAGAATTACAAATAGAAAAGCTATACATAAATTATTTGCAAAAAATTATCCATACAATTTTATATTATTGTGAAATGACTGAGCAAAAACATTTGTGATCTTCATGTTTTCTGCAATGCAAATACTGATTGTCAAACAGATTCACAAAAATGCTGTATCACAAACTAATTAATAATTAATTTTTAAGTTTAGAAAGTTGCACACTTCAATTAATATTTCCATTGATGTAAACTTTGCTTAATATATAAAGTATAATACAGTAATAATAAAAAGTCTGTTTTATTATTATTATTATTATTATTATTATTATTATTGAAGTACTACGAGGGCTAGTTTTTAAATAAAGTCTGTTTGTGAATGAGAGTGAGAATGATGCATGATTGCAGCAGTATGCATGTGTGTCTGCTCCCAGCAAGCTTGTCATGTGTTTAGATGCCATTTGCAGCTGTATTGTCTGTCTATGTGCCGAGCTGTAGAAGTTTATAATGTTTAAAAAAACTGAGTTGCCCACTGACTGTGAAATATGATCTGTTATTTGATTCTTGAGTGCAAGAAACTCCACAGGTTTCAAGGTCAGTTATATACCATTATTTTGGAGAAAATAAATTATCAAAAATCGTGTTCTTGATGGGTTTCAAGACTACTTTCTGGCAATCACAAAACAAAAAGATTGGGCAGTACTTTATTGTTTTTGACTCGATACAATCAGGAAAAATATGAATTGTTGGACCACATTGTTACAGGAGATGAGACTTGGGTGTCTCATGACTCCTCCTGAGTCCAAGCAACAGTCAGTGGAATGGTGGCACACATCACCACCAACCAAACTGAAGCCAAACAGACAATTTCAGCATGAAAGATCATGGCAACTGTCTTTTGGGACAGGAAGGGGATTTTATGCCAAGAGGCACAACAATCAATTCTAATGCGTATTGTGTGACCTTGAGAAAACTCCGGCATGCCATACAAAACAAGTGGCATAGTGTGGCCTACTGTCTTCCAGTGTGATGTTGCTCCATGACAATGCAAGGCTACATGTTTCTGCACAAACATAAGGCCTAATCAGTTCCTTTGGATGAAAACAACTGGATCATCCATCTTACAGTCCAGACCTTGTACCCAGTGATTTTCACCTGTTTCGATACTTAAAGGACTTCCTTCGAGGTCAATGGTTCAACGATGACAAAGAAGTGAAAACTCCAGTCATGGATTGGGCTTCTTCACAGGCAGCAGATTTTCTTTGAAGTCGGAATTCAAAAAATTGTTAAGCAGTATGACAAATGTTTGAACAAAAATGGAAATTATGTACAAAAGTAGATAAAAGTATGTAGAATACGGGAAAAAATATATTTTAATAATATCTAAAGTATTTTTCTTCTTATTAAAAAACAGACCTTATTTAATTAATTAATAGTTTTTTAATGGGAGTTTGATATCAAATTTCATTCATCGTTCTAAAGTTGTAGTGCACGGATTTTCCTTCGGTAAAGTTATTTAAAGCTAGTTTCTGATGTCAAAAATGACCTCCGATAGTTTTTTAATTCTTTTAATTAATAGATTTTATTATATATATACATTTAATTAAGTCGGGGGTCGGAAATCGCAATAAAAATTTTAATTTTTTAAAAATATTTTAAAATATAAGGCCAGCTAGTATTCACCCTACTATAAACCCATAGCCTCCCGAGACTTCTATGAGAACGTCCCGGGAAATCCAANTTCACCCTACTATAAACCCATTGCCTCCCGAGACTTCCCGGGAAATCCAACTCCAGCTGTGTTCAAGGTCATCCAGTGGTGTAAACAATGACTCATCAGTGTCAAATTTCACAGAAAGACAAGACAAAGGAAAATAAAATTTGAAGCTTTTTCTTCAAAATTAATGCATTTCTTTCATTTTTTTTCAGTTTTAAGTATTTTTAAGTATTTTTTATGTTTAAAAGACATCTTCTCTTTCTCATCTACCACCCCTCACACTATTATATGTGGTTAGCCAGATACAGTACTACTACTTTCTTCTGCACAGGGATTAGGTGTGGAGACTAGTGCACTGGACTTGCCCATCCTACAATTCTTTCAGATGGAAGTGGTTGGTCGGGTAGAACTGCCTTTCCTTTCCTTATTTTCAAGAAGTAGCCATGTTCCTGGTACAAACATCCCTCAGATGATCAGCAGCAATGGTACTGTTCTGGAGTAGCCATCAGTAGTCAGCAACAGGTATTTTTCATTTTACCTCCCATGGCCTTAATCCACTTGTGGGCATCTGATAGGGTATGGCATTAGCAGGTCACTGAACCTGCCCACTACTGCTTTAATCTATCCTTTAGAAAAATCAGTATCCCTTCATTTATTGACTAATACTAAAAGGCTCTCTTCTTGTAGCCTTCAGCTAGCTTAATAATAATTCTATTTTCACAGGTTGCATCATCCAAAAATCCACTTCACAGGATTACATATCTGTTGGAGACTGAAGTGGGTCATATGTTTTTCTTCCACTGACATAAATTGTTAGGCTATACTTTTTCTATACATTTCTACCATTTCTTTGGCAATGGTCTCCTGCTCCTCCATGGTTTGTTTAGTCCCAATTTCACATTAATAATTATCCTCCAGTCCAGGAAGTTCTCTCTTTTAACTGGTTTTATTCAGCTTGCCATTAGCTGGCTATATGGAGTTTTTCTGGGTTTTCTTCGCATCTGTTATTGCCCAATTAGGGGCCAGCACCCCATTAAGTCCTCCCAAAAGGCACATACTGATATACTCCTAAGAATGGTGTAGTATTCTTATCAAAATTACTTTTCCAAATTGCTGGAAACCCTTAGCAATGGATTGCCCACTGCAGCCTTCTTTTTCTCAGTGACTTTGAGTAATCCAGTATAAAATGTTATGTCTGGTTGGTTAGTCTCACAATCTGCCCACTTTCTTATCTATTTTTTCACTTCTTGAAATACATACAAATGGTAAATAAAAAGTACAACAAACATTATACATATCGTTCAGAATAAACAATAAAACACAACATGTAATATTATAAGCCCTTCTAGGGACATTTTTTTAACCAACTTTGGACACCATAATCACTAACCACTAATCAACAATACACTCTTCCATACATAACATTCTCTGCCCTTTAGTACTCTCAGAGTGTAAGAGGGCCTAAAACCTTAAAAAAAATAAATAGAAATTTAAAATTATTATAATTGTATCATAATAATTTTGAAAACTTCTAATGATGATGGCTAGCATGCCTCACACAATAATGTGTTGCTAGTGATCATGGGTGACTGCATATTTATGATAGCTACCTACCCATGCAAAGTTTATGCCAAGCCATCAGCCAAACATGTGACCCACACTCAAAAATTTCTGGATACATACTTGGTATTCATAACTGTAAATACAGTAGAGCATCGTTTATCCGAATCAATTGGGGACTGGGGTCACTCGGATAACTTATTTTTCGGATAACCAATTATGTACGAAAAAATATAACCTATCCCGTTTTGAAATTTTTCTCCGTTGCATGTCGCTTCGCGTTGAAATTTCGTCAGTGTTAAGCCTAACAAAGACTATTGTATCGTTAAAAATTATTTTTTTATTTTGTACAAACAAAATAAATATATTGAAAAATATAGAAACAATAAAAAATTATACTTCAGAAGTTAATTTAGTATCAAAAACGTAAAATATTTGAGTAGCCCAAGACATAGCCAAAGATTGCAGCGACACAACACTAGCAAAAATTTAAATTTGCCGACTGGAATTCTTTCGGATAACCGACGTTTCAGATAAATGACGCTCTACTGTAATTATAAAATAATTGCTGAGATACATACCTGACTGGACTCTTGGAAATAGAATGCCTCCTATAGAAGTAAAGTTTGAATTATTATAATTTAATTAAAAAATATACTTTGTGTAATGTTAAGCTTTATAATGTAACCATTTTAAAAATAAATTTATTACTATTACTGTTGTTACAGTTGTTTACAAAAAGCAAATTTTTTAAAATAAAAATCTTAATTGTATGAAATTTAATAATAATAAAAAAAAAATCTGTCTTCATTAATGAATTTCCTATAATGAATGTCAAATATATCATTTTAAGTCATTACAAAATTTGTATAGAGATAAAAAGAAGAATGGAAAACATATTTCTATTTATAAAATCCTAACAAAGAAAAAAGAATTTCTTAATTTATATATTTTTTTGAAGTAAAGCAAATGTAAAACACAATTGTAATAAAAAATAATCATTATTTTACACAAACAATTTATTTGGAAATAACCCATATTCAATACCATTCATTGTTTTCCTAAACTGCTATTTTGTAATACAACCGAAACAAAATTTAACATTCTTACTCTCATGTTTCATACAACACAATAGTGGTCATAAAAACTATAGTCTACAATGTAAGTCAAAAAAAATTCACCAGGTGTGGAAATCAGCATATTTAAGTATGCTACTTTACACACTTATTGAATAGTTTTTAGCATACATCATAGTTATAATTGCAATTTATAACAACATATGTAGTACAGAGAAGAAAAGTCCAAGATTAATCCAAGGAATGAAATTAATTACATATACTACTATATTTAAGTGTTATTTCAACGATGGCTTCAACAATATTGTTGATGAGCAATATTAGAAAAACCTGCAGTTCACATTAATAGAAGAAAATGTTCAAAGCATAAGTAGGGTTGAAAAATATAATAGTCAGTTTTCTCTCAGTAAATGTAATCTAATACAATCAAACCAGTACTATGTTATCAGTTTACGTGAAATCTGTATTAATTCAAAATATCATTGAAGGGCACTTCTACATATTTGATATTTGCTAAATGCCAAATTATTTGCTAAACTGTTTGTCATGTGACAAACACACATATGTGAGATCTGAATGGTCAGGGAAGATTCATTTTAATCACAATAATAAGTTGGAGAAAAGAATTTAAAATAATAGAAAATCATATTTTAAACTTCAACAAGATTTTATCTAAAACCAGAGGAAACATCAGAATTTTTGAAAGGAAGTTGATTTCCTTTCCCAGGCTGACTCGAGTTTTGGCACACATTACGGAAGACCAGATAAAAGGGACATTTTCCTGCCATTCAGGACAGTCTGTCGAAGGAAGGTTTGCCATACTGAAGAATCTGAAATATGTTAAGAGGCAGTCCGCTAAGAAGAGGTATTGCCATACAAGAGAATATGATATAAGTGATCGTCATACAAGACCGACAAGGCCATGCTAGACCGATTAATTGAAGTATAAATATACGACAAGATTGTCAAAGGAAAAAGATAAAAGAACCTCCCATAGAAAAGAGAAGAATAAATAAAGAAAGAAGATGATCCTCATACAGAAACAGATACGAAAAATACGGTGAAGGTAATATAGTCTCTGATAGATCGATGTAAACTCTCTCACGCGTTAGGTTAGAAATAAGATAGATTAAGATATAGGTTAGATTCATCATTGTATATTTTTATTATTTGATTTATTAAATATTTTGATTTGTTTTATAAAATGGTTTGGTTATTATTAGACATTCATTTTCATTCAAGTTTCCTTAGTTACTCCGAATCCCAAGTTTAAGGATAACGCGAGTTAATCCGCGTGTAAAATAACTGATTAACTGGTGTCAAGGAATCCTGACTAGATTTAGAATTAATCCTCTAGATTCGTTTAAACATTAACAGCCCTTCTAGAAAAAGTTTAGTGATCCAATCTTGAGATTGTGTCCCTGTAAGCGGCGTAAACTTAGTTCTACGTCCCTGGCTTCTCACACATATATAATACAGTAGAGCGTCAATTTTCCGAATCAATTGGGGACTGGGGTTGTCCGGATAACAGATTTACGTACGAAAAAATAGTTTAACGTATCCAATGTCGAAATTTTTCTCCATTGCGTGTCGCTTCGTGTTGAATTTTTGTCGATGTTAAGCCTAACAAAGACTATTGTCGTTAAAAATTATTTTTTTATTTTGTACAAACAAAATAAATATATTGAAAAATATAAAAATAATAAAAAATTATACTTCAGATGTTAATTTAGTATCAAAAACGTAAAATATTTGAGTAGCCCAAGACATAGCCAAAGATTGAAGC